GAATTATCTATCCAAATTTAAACATAACTTCATAATTATAATCGGAAATTAGACAAAACTTTTAATTCTGAGATAAAACGATTATATCTATCTGAAAAAGAGGATAAGTAAAGCTGTGGTATATTACAACGCTATTTTACACGTTTATAAATATATTTATTTACTAAAGGCTTAATGTTTTCAATTTGCATGATACATTTTATTTGATTCAAAAGTTGATGAAGGTGATTCTCAATCAAATTTTATGATTTGCATGATTGCATGATTCCATGTGCATTTTTTGCACGTGGAATCATGCTACAGCCACAAAGATGGCAAAATGTATTTGGACAATAATGGACAATATATGATTCAATAAAATATTTATTCACTATCAGAAAATCACCTTTCATTTTCATAAAAAAAGGTGAAATTACTTTCTGAACAACCCAATAATTGGGAAGTGCTTTGTAGTTTTTTTGTTACTTAAATGCTTGTTAGTTTCCCTCTCACAGTTGTACAGTGCGCAAAAAATAGATGGACCACTCTGAATAACTAATAATTGAATTCGAAAAAGTAGTATTTTAAAATTCGATTTCTTTGGAACTATTCGTCTACTTTTGCTCAAATTTTGTATTTTTCCACTTAAAAATTTTATTCCTTAAAATGATGTAAAAATCTTATGTCTGAAAATTCAAAATTTTTTCGACTATTATTAAATAAAATAATAAAATAATAAAAAATAATAAATATTTATGAAGTTCTATTATGCATGCAATTATCTTTGGTTAAACAGATTTTATAATTGGGTTCAAAAATTTTTCAATTCACTGAAAAAGTTCTCGAGATATGGTAAAATTCACCAAAAGTAAATTTATCGTTAAGTAGTCCAAACTTTGGACTAAACTATGACTAAACTATCAGGATTATATATCCCAGATTGCGGTTATTCTTATATTTTGAAGGTCAGAAATCTGAATCCGTTGGAGAAAAAAAGTATGTTAATTCATAGAAAGTACGTTTTTGTGCCTTATTTCATAACTTGAAACATCATCTGCACTAATTAATCACCTTATTTGAGGTCATAAAATTGAGCCCTGGAGCATGAAGATCAGATCATTAGTTTAAAAGTTATTTAGGATGGTCCATTTTTAATTTTGCTCTCTGTACATGCTGTTGATTCGATTTCCTGCTCTCTGAGTTAGACACAAGACTGCAGAAATCAAAATTTGAATGAGCCGTTGATCCTTTTTTCATGTATAGTTATAAATTAAAATAGGATCAATCTATATGAGTTTTAAACTCTTAGTTATTCTTAGTCCTTATTCTTAGTCATTATTTCTTAGTTAGTTTCAGTCCTTCATTAAAACTTTTTTTTAGCTAAGATACCGATGAAATTAAAATACTTCTATAATTACTTAAGTAAAAACTACAATATAGTAAAATTATTATTTCCTTAATTATTTTATAAAATAATTTAAATAATGAATTGCAAAATAAATGGTAAAAAGAAAAATTTATTGTTTTTTTTTTCATTTTTAATGCATTATTGAAATTTCTAAATAATATCATTTGTTAAAAAATAGTTCTATTATTTTTTTAATCTTTAGTGGTTTTTCGTTGCTTCTAATCTATGGTAATTTAAATACATTTTTTTAATTGAAACTACAAAAAAAAACTTCAATAATTTTATGATACTCTTAGTAAAAACTTTATTTTTCTAGAGATCTATCAATTGAATTTCAAAAAGTAAAATAAATTAAAAACTGTTTCGAAAAAATAATTTTAGCAATCTTACACAAAAAAGATTAAATATATAGTGTTTTTTTCATTTATAATATATTAATGAGTCCTCTCGAGCGATTCCTTGTTGTTTTTTTTAAAAAACAAGTTCAACGCTTATAAAAATCTTGCTTCTTGAAATTTAATATCTTCAACTTCGAATTCTATTTTACAAATTTTGTTCATGTTAAATGAAAACATCCGTATCCCACCAAGATTGCCAATTTATGAAAGATTTATAACCAAGACGAATTCATCCTCTCCCCGCATCTTTGGACTTAATCTCGTCCTTCTCTCTGCAAAACCAATATCTCCGAAACGCGTTCATCGAAGCAAACGTTTCATATTTTAAATCTCACTACAATGGACGCGAGAATTTATGTCATCTAGACCAGTGATAAAATGGCGGTCTGATAAAAGAACTAAAAAATAGACAGAAGTAAAGGGCGTCCAATCTTAGTAAAGCTCCTTCAGAATTTATTGCCATCTACCCAACTTTAAAATTCTCAACACTTTAAAGATGGTTGTTTATGGCCTTTATTCGAAGAGTTTTTGCGCTACAAGGATTTTTATTGTTAAGAGCGAAAAAGGATGCATGTAAAATTTTCGCGCTACTTTCTTTTCAGCTAGGGCAACTTAAAGTGACATCATAAAATCTTCAACTATAAAAGGTTCCCCACCTTTATATTTACTTTTTTTCTTAGATTTCTTGAAAGCATTTTGTTATTCATTTAAAAGCCTTTTGTTATTCGTTAATGGAAAAACGGGGCAAAAACTAAAGATTTTTTTGATTTTTTTTGCTTTGCAGCAGGCACTGATATATAAACAATAGAAAATTTTATTTAATTTAAAAATTGCAACTTAAATGCTCGTATTTACTACAAATTATTAAATCATGTTTAAATAATAGCTGTAAATGGAAAAAAGTCAAATATATAGTATCTTAAACTTTTTTGTAGTTGCTTAATTGATTGAACAATTTTAGAAAACTTTGCTGAATTGTAACTGTGATTTAAAATTTCCTTATTATTGAAAACGAAGGTTTTGAAGCAATAATAAACAGCCCATTTCCATTCTGTTAACATGCCTAAAAGTAAAAAGAATCTATTTGATATGTTTAAAAGAATTATTGAGATCATTAAGAAAGTATTTAGAATTTTATTAATTGATATATGGTAAACGAGTCTAAATTTTGTGCCTTTTATTATTAAATTCCTAAGTTCTAACTTTTCTAAAATATTTAAATTGCCAGTAATAATATGTTTATGATGTTTTTCAACAAATTCAAAATATTTCTCTTCTTGACAGTGACATTCATGATCGGATATATTAATTTTTCCTAAATTTTTGCTAATATCATTGTAATTAAATATAATAAATCTCTTGCTAGAACTACTTTTAAAGCCCTTAATTTTATTAAAATCTTCAAATAGAAACAAATATTTTTAAATTTTAAGAAAATTATGAAATTTAATCTTATAGAAAATAGGGTTTTGAAAGTTATTAACCATATACAAATTATTCAAATTTTTCTTTTTATTTGGGGAAATTTCTCATTTTTGCTCTCGATTGAAAAAAAGAATTTTAAAGTTTAAATTAATAAATGTAAGCTTAATAATAAGATATTGAAGCTTATATACAAAAATTATATACAAAATCTTTCATAGGTTTAATATTATATAATTAATAAACATTATAATATTATAATATCTATGAAAGATTTTGTTTTCTCCTTTAAGAATATTGATGTATATCAGCTTTAAGATCTTATTATTAACTTTTTTTTAATTAATTTACAGTTCAAAATTCTTTGTTCTGATCTTTTAAAAGTGAAAATGAGTAAAATTTTCCTATATAAAACGAAAAATTTAGATAATTTATCTTTCGTTATTACGCTCAAAAACATTTGATAAGAATAAATTTCATTATTATGAAAATTTAGAAGAATTTGTTTCCATTAAGAGATTTTAACATAATTCAAAGCTTTAAATATAATAAATGTCTTGGTAGAGCAATTTTAATTTTAATAATATTAGCAAAAATTTAGGGAAAATTAATATATCCAATTAGGAATGTCACTGTGAGGAAGAGAAATATATTGAATTTGTTGATAAACATCATAAACATATTATCACTGGTAATTTAAATACTTAAGAAAACTTAGAACTAAGGAATTTAATGATAAAAGGTACAAAATTTAGACCCATATACCATATATCAATTAATAAAATTCTAAAATACTTTCTTAATGATCTCAATAATATTTGTTTAAAGATATTAAATAGATTCTATTTACCTTTAGGCATGTTAACAAAATGGATATGGATTAATCATTGTTTTCACTTATCAAATAAATTCTGCAACCATTAAACAGATTGTATCTGTTAGGTACAGATTTTTTCAGTTTTGAACATGAAAAACTTAAGTATAAAAGTGGCAACAAATAATTTGATTCTTTATAATCGGTCTGAATTTCCGTCAAGTTTGGTCTCATATCAGGGTTTGACAACCATTTTTGGAATCCTTGACGCATTAACAATGGAAAAAAAAATTAAAAATCTCCGGCAATTCTTTGATTGAGAATATTAAGAAAAACTTGACAAAACATAATGGTTTTCGCTAAATCAAAAAACGTGAAAATGACAAAAAATTGAATAATTTAAAAAAAAACTCTAAATTTTTAAAATATGTTTCACCTTGTAAACCAGAGGGCTTACAGTTACCTTAATTCCAATTTTCTCTGCCTTTCTCTGCTGACAGTACCCTAACTGACGAAAAATACCTGATGCATACAAGTATTTTCTGTAGTGTTTTTATACAGGACATTTCTGTCAACGTGTTTTTTCCGTAGCATACGGATAATCTCTGGCAATTTTGCTGGCAGAAATTTCCACAATATAGCATATAACAGAATTATTTTCATAAATTTTAATCTAACAGAATTATTTTTGCAGCTAAGTTTGTTAATTTGTTTAAATTTTTGTTTTTGTTTCTAATTTGCAGTTAAGTTTGTTTATTAAGCAGTTGAGTTAATATAACAGAAATATTTTTTATAAAATAACAGAATTATTTTTGCAGTAAAATTGTCTATTATAAGTAAAAATTTTGTGTAATTTTAGTTGAACAATTTTTAGTATTTTAAATTCCTTTGAAATTACCATTATTAATTTTATGTTTCATATATTTATTTATACCATTTTATCATTTATTAATTGTACTAAAAACTATTTACTTTACAGTATGTGTTCACTTTCTAAAGATGGATGGGATTCATAAATGAAAAAAAAAATGTGCTACATGATTGTTACATCTCGAACACTACTATGGACTCTGCTAACTATGGCTACAACTTTAGCTATGGTGGCAGCTGTAATAACACCAACTTGGCTAATAGGACCTTCACGAAGACTTAGGGGAAGAAATAAAGTTACTCCTGAAGATGAAATATTCACTCCTTCCTTAGGTAAAGATATTTATCACGAGTCTTATACTAGTCATATTTTAAGCTTTGTTTAGGTGGTATGTTTAATCTTTTTTCTTAAAATTTTTTCAAAAAATAGCAAAAAGTGTTGCATTTATTTGCTTTATGAAATGATAAATAACTTCCTCATTATATTTTATTGTTCCGGGTTAATCGATTAACCTAAAGTAGTTTTTTCTTCAGAAATTTAAATTTGAAAAATAAAATTAAAACTTAATAAAGATTAGCCAGATTTTAAAGTAAAACAGAAAAACTACCTATAGTAGGATTTTTCAATTCCTACTATTAATTCACACTCTCCCTATATATATTCATATATCTTGCTCAAATTTTCAATCATTCATAAAATAATTTCTATTCACTCACTCAAGCTCAAATGCATTTTTTTAAACTTGTAGTAGATGACACTTTATGTATTCTTTTACAAAGTAATCTGAATCGGTTGTAGCACGGCTAGCTATAATATAGGGAGATGAAATGGCTGTGAAATGATTATAATATTCCATCTTCACATATATTGTTATTTATTAATTGCAATATTTAGAATTATTATTATCTGCATGAAGAAAAAAATTCAGATAAAATTACCGTACTGTATGGTAATGACATTTCTAAATAAAAAAAGAAAGCATATTTCTGATAGTAAAAATATACGGTACTAAATAATACATTCGGTAGTTTTTCTGTTCATATGGTAACGGCTTACTGAAATTCTGGTATTCACAATTATAGTTCTTATTACTACACGTTTAGTAATATAAAAAATAAAAAACTGAAAAGTGAATTTTTATAGTATAAATGATTTTTTTTGCCGTGCTTTAATGTATCATGATAAATTTATCAAATTTTATCGTATATGCTTCGGTAAAAATTACCGAGGTTTTTGTTGTTTCCATGGAGCCAAAAACACAGTAAACTACCTATAGTAAGACTTTACAATTCCTACTATTAGTTCACACTCTCCCTATATATATTCATATATCTTGCTCAAATTTTCAATCTTTCATAAAATAATTTCTATTCACTCACTCAAGTTCAAATACATTTTTTTAAGCTTGTAGTAGATGACACTTTATGTATTCTTTTACAAAGTAATCTGAATCGGTTGTAGCACGGCTAGCTATAATATAGGGAGATGAAATGGCTGTGAAATGATTATAATATTCCATCTTCACATATATTGTTATTTATTAATTGCAATATTTAGAATTATTATTATCTGCATGAAGAAAAAAATTCAGATAAAATTACCGTACTGTATGGTAATGACATTTCTAAATAAAAAAAGAAAACATATTTCTGATAGTAAAAATATACGGTACTAAATAATACATTCGGTAGTTTTTCTGTTCATATGGTAACGGCTTACTGAAATTCTGGTATTCACAATTATAGTTCTTATTACTACACGTTTAGTAAAATAAAAAAAAACTGAAAAGTGAATTTTTTATAGTATAAATGATTTTTTTTGCCGTGCTTTAATGTATCATGATAAATTTACCAAATTTTATCGCATATACTTCGGTAAAAATTACCGAGGTTTTTGTTGTTTCCATAGAGCCCAAAACACAGTAAACTTCAGCATATTCCGGTAGTTTTGACCATAATTTTTTCATTGTGTAAATATTCTAAATTTTATATAAGCTTCTTACATTATTATTTTTACTTGACTTTTACAGTACTAGAAATTTACTAGGCTTTAACGGATTTTGGTATTGTTACATTTGTTTTTATATTGTAAATAATCATTTACGATGTTTACAATTTAGGTCTTAATTACTTTTCTTTTGATTAAGGTCTTGAAAACTGTTTTAAGATTCGTAAATAAAGATTGTACTGTTAACAAATTGGGATACTATTTTTATGAATATGAAAAAGCAATTCGTATAAAATATTAGTTTTGTTTACACAAATATGCACTTTAATATTTACCCTCAAACTGAAAGACATCTATCCTTTGCCACAATTTTTATTTATCAAAATTTTAAATTAGACGTATTAAAAATGCCATCGTCAAACAATGTAACAAGTGATTTGATATAATTTTAAGAAAAGGTGACATTTGTGATAATTGAAGAACAGAAGTATTTAAAAAAAAGTATCAATCGTAAAAGTCTTTCCTCCTTAATTTCAGAAGTAAAATGTAATTAAAAAGTTTCTCTTATAGTCTCCGTTAGTTAAAAAATGCATATTTAAGTAGTAAAAAAGACATTAAATGCAGAAACGTATGAAAAGTCTTTTTTTAAAGAGCTTGCTACCAATGCAATATTACTATTAACCTCTGTTTCTCTCAATTCTACCGATAATTCCAAAAAACCAGAAATCTCCACTTTTTCTTCCAAATTAAGATTCTTACATTTTTAAGTTAAGCTGACGTGGATATATATTTAGGATACGAAAAATCACTTACTTGATATGGTATATTTTCTGCGGTAAAATTTCATCTCAGTTCAAAAACATGCCAAATTCTGGAGTTCTCGGAATGAAATTGCAAATAAAATGACGATGACTGCAGTAGTTGCCTATGAAATTGTGCTCAGAAACTAACAATTAATTATTTAGTTTAGGCCTTCTATTTTGTTTATGGTTTTTAACACACAGTGAGGGATTCAGAATGTAGTCTTTTAGGTGGCTTATGCTGGGAAAGAAAGAGGGATAACAGTAACTGTGAGCCACATGAAATAAAATTGGGAAGAAATTAAGATACGGAATTCATGGGTTCCGGAATTAAGTTGGACTCGGCATTCATAGCAAAGAAGAAAAAATACATTCTTAAGAGATGTGCAGGTGAAAATTGAGAGTAAGGACACCAAAATAATAAATTAGATAATATAATTTAATAGGGGGCCGGGATAGCCTGGTCGGTAGGGCGCTGGACCCATATCCAAGAGGTCGTGGGTTCGATCCTCGCCGGCCGAAGACTCCCCGTGTAGTAAATGGTGACTGATGCACGTTAAATCTGTCGAGTCTCAAAGTCCTCCATGTTCCCACAACAAATCAATACCTCTGGGGGTACTGATCCAGGAGTTTCCTTGTCTTCTGGATTGGTTCAAAATTACAAGGCTACGGAGTTGAACGTAAGTAGTCGTAAACCCATGAATTTGGGTCGGCTGTTCAACGACGGTTATAAAATAAAATAAAATATAATTTAATAACATCTCCACATGTGACCTAGCACATATTGTCACAATCCAGAAGAAGATTTCTTCACAAATAACTATGTATATGCAGTCTAAGGCATAAATAAAGTCTTTATTTCATTTCTTAATGTCAAATTATTAATATTTCAGTTTTTAAAAAAAGTAGCATCATATAGTATTCGCTTTAAAGTTCACTACATAAATTGGCCATTAACTGATGCTATCGCATTATTGTAATAGAATATTGTGCAACCAGAAATATTTTAATATTAAAAAAGGAAAAAAGCCCTATATATCGAGAGTCTACTTAACTATTCTTTTTTTTTTTGTCTATGTTGCAAAATTAATTTAAATAAAGATTACCTGCTTTTGAACTCATTGATTCAATTATAGAATAAGTATCTGCATTTCGAAATTTTTTTTTTGAAACTTAGCAATACGGTTATATACATTTTTTAAGTCAAACAGATTAAAATAATAAATAATTAAGCTATCATTTGGTTCTACTTGAGACCATATATATATACCTACTATTAATTCACACTCTCCC